CAAACTTGTAATTAAGCTGTAATCAGGGTTAATTAAAACCAGTTAAAACTCAACATGCATGCCACAATGCTTATGTCTTCTCTTCTTTCATACATCCATTATCATCAATTTCACAGACAGTAGAGATTTATTTCCTGGGTGTTTGTAAACAAAGATATTAAGACTTCATTTTTTTTGTCTCGTCCACAGCAAGTCCACAGTCGTAGAGGAGAGATTTTGGTGTGATTCAAGATTACAGTTAATTGCAATAAATACAGAATGACGCCAAAATGACGGTACATTGAGTGTTACTCCTGAATGTGTCTGAAAACAGAAGTTTGACATTTTAGCTGCCATGCACCCGGAAGAAGAGTTATGTGGATACAAAACAGAGTAAAGTGACAATAGTTCTAAATACTTTTTCTTTATCAGTAAACTTTCAGATCAGTATTTGAAAACAGCACCAGTTGTCGATACACATGCTGACAGTTCTTACAGGTTGTTGAAGCGTCTTGGAGAATTTGCCGAAGTTCTGTGAATTTTTTCTGTCTCAGTATCTTCTGTGTCTGTTCATGTAATCCCAGGATGACTCTGTAGTGGCCACATGCTGCAGGCAGACGATGTTAGGGGCCATAAATCAGGTGCCTCCAAGAAGGTCGCCAGTTTGCGTCCTGGTGAGGACCCCTGGGATCTTTCTGTGTGGAGTTTGCATGTTCTCCCCGTGCAGCGTGGATTCTCTCTGGGTTCTCCGGCTTCCTCCCACACAGTCCAAATACATGTTGAGGTTAATTGGTGATTCTAAATTGCCTATAGGTGTGAATGTGAGTGTGCTTGGTTGTCTGTCTCCAAGTGTGGCCCTGCGATAGACTGGTGACCTGTCCAGGGTTTCCCCTGCCTTCGCCCTAAGTCGGCTGGGATAGGCTCCAGCCCCCCTGCGACCCTAGTGAGGATTAAGCGGTGTTTAGATAATGGATGTTTTTCTTTATCAGTACACTTTCAAATCAGTATTTGAAAACGGCACCAGTTGTCGATACACATACTGATAATTCTTACAGGTTGTTGAAGCGTCTTGGAGAATTTGCCGAAGTTCTGTGAATTTTTTCTGTCTCAGTATCTTCTGTGTCTGTTCATGTAATCCCAGCCTGACTCTGTAGTGGCCACATGCTACAGGCAGACGATGTTAGGGGCCAGAAATCAGGTGCCTCCCTGATGATCATGTGTGATGGATACAAAACTTTAAAAATGGTCCTGCAAGGGGGACCAGTGGTTAGCACTGTTGCCTCGCAACAAGAGGGTCGCCAGTTTGGGTCCCGGTGAGGACACCTGGGATCTTTCTGCATGGAGTTTGCATGTTGTCCCCGTGCAGTGTGGGTTCTCTCTGGGTTCTCTGGCTTCCTCCCACAAGTCCGAAAACATGTTGAGGTTAATTGGTGATTCTAAATTGTCCGTAGGTGTGAATGTGAGTGTGCTTGGTTGTCTGTCTCTAAGTGTNCAAACTTGTAATTAAGCTGTAATCAGGGTTAATTAAAACCAGTTAAAACTCAACATGCATGCCACAATGCTTATGTCTTCTCTTCTTTCATACATCCATTATCATCAATTTCACAGACAGTGGAGATTTATTTCCTGGGTGTTTGTAAACAAAGATATTAAGACTTCATTTTTTTTGTCTCGTCCACAGCAAGTCCACAGTCGTAGAGGAGAGATTTTGGTGTGATTCAAGATTACAGTTAATTGCAATAAATACAGAATGACGCCAAAATGACGGTACATTGAGTGTTACTCCTGAATGTGTCTGAAAACAGAAGTTTGACATTTTAGCTGCCATGCACCCTGAAGAAGAGTTATGTGGGTACAAAAACAGTAAAGTGACAATAGTTCTAAATACTTTTTCTTGATCAGGAAACTTTCAGATCAGTCTTTGAAAACGGCACCAGTTTTCAATACACATGCTGACAATTCTTACAGGTTGTTGAAGCGTCTTGGAGAATTTGCCGAAGTTCTGTGGATTTTTTCTGTCCCAGTATCTTCTGTGCCTGTTCATGTAATCCCAGGATGACTCTGTAGTGGCCACATGCTGCAGGCGGACGATGTTAGGGGCCATACATCAGGTGCCTCCCTGATGATCATGTGTGATGGATACAAAATGTTAAAAATGGGCCTGCAAGGTGGATCAGTGGTTAGCACTGTTGCCTCGCAACAAGAAGGTCGCCGGTTTGGGTCCCGGTGAGGACACCCGGGATCTTTCTGCGTGCAGTTTGCATGTTCTCCCCATGCAGCGTGGGTTCTCTCCGGGTTCTCTCTGGGTTCTCCCTGGGTTCTCCAGCTTCCTCCCACAGTCCAAAAACATGTTGAGGTTAATTAGTGATTATAAATTGTCTGTAGGTGTGAATGTGAGCGTGCTTGGTTGTCTGTCTCTAAGTGTAGCCCTGTGATAGACTGGTGACCTGTCCAGGGTGTCCCCTGCCTTCACCCTGAGTCAGCTGGGATAGACTCCAGCCCCCCATGACCCTAGTGAGGATTAAGTGGTGTACAGATAATGGATGGAATAAACTTTCAAATCAGTATTTGAAAGCAGCACCAGTTGTCGATACACATGCTGACAGTTGTTACAGGTTGTTGAAGCGTCTTGGAGAATTTGCCGAAGTTCCGTGAATTTTTTCTGTCTCAGTATCTTCTGTGTCTATTCATGTAATCCCAGGCTGACTCTGGAGTGGCCACATGCTGCAGGCAGACGATGTCAGCTTCCTCCCACAGTCCAAAATCACGTTGAGGTTAATTGGTGATTCTAAATTGTCCATAGGTGTGACTGTGAGTGTGCTTGGTTGTCTGTCTCTAAGTGTAGCCCTGTAATAGACTGGTGACCTGTCCAGGGTGTCCCCTGCCTTCACCCTGAGTCAGCTGGGACAGACTCCAGCCCCCCATGACCCCAGTGAGGATGAAGCGGTGTTTAGATAATTATGGATTTTAAAACTGTGCTCAAGGTTGTCACTGATATAAATTGTAAGAGCGTGGCTCATCTGTTTAGCCCTCATTTACTTCTGGGCAACAACTAGCACTGGCTTTTCTATAAATATACAAGCAGCAATGTTTAGCATTTTTATGTAATTCTTTTCAGAATCCCCAAGACCCTTCTCACAATCGATAAAAGATATTTTTAGCGTCACCAATGGGGGTTAATACTGGAAAATATGCAGCCTGGAACTGACTGTTATGTATCAATGCTTTTTGGCAAAATCAGCACTGATTGAAAAAAAATAAAATCATGCATTCAGACATGTATGTAGAAGTCTTAAGAATAAATGGCAGACACCAGTTTAT